TGAGAAAACAACACATTCTGGAAAGAATAAAACTGATGAGATCATGTTATCTGAGTCAAAGGGGTTTATCCTCCTATGGTAGCCATTTTAGAAACATCTCGACAGACATCCAAATTCTAGTAAGCATACTGTATTACCCGATTACTTGTCTCAGTCACCTTGCCATTTGCTGGAGGAGTTGGGGTTTGAATCATCAGCCATTTACTCCATTACTTAGCCTTCTGCTCAATTACCTTGCCACTTACTCCTTAATCTAGTTAATTACCTAGCCTTGATTAGCTAACCATCAGCTGGGGAGTCGGGGTTTAAACCATGAACCTTGTGACTACATGACCACAGCTCTCCCTAGTGCCCTAAGTCAGTCTATCTTTCCGCCTGTCTGTCTGCCTGAGTGTGCGTGCATGTCTGTCAAACTATGTTTAATTAGGTTCATCTCAATCAGCTGTTTTGCTCCCCAACTGCAATTAAAGGTTGCCATGGTGATTGGATGGAATATGATTCCATTGTAATTTTGTTTTAAAAAAAGTTTATTATTTTAAAAGGTTTAATGGGATTTTAAAGTTGAATGACACCTAAAATATTTGATGTTTGTGAGTTTGAAATTGAGTTTGTAGCTGAAAGTATTAATGAAAAGTTAAGAGTTGAAAATTCATGAAAAGTCCAATTTTCCAAATAGGATGAAAGGGGAAACAAATTGACATAAAACCCGACATTTTCCAGAAAGTATAAAGGATATAAAAAAATCTGAATTGAAGCCCCTCTCTCCTAATTAAGCAGAATATTTTGACATGCTTTCAGCATTCCCACACATTTACAGTATGATCACATGCATGATTATATAGGTGATTACTGCACTAGAGTTGATGAAGAGAGTAATGACAAATAATGATGTACCTCTTCTGTGCAGTGGCGGTGCAGTCACCTCGTCTCCATCTGCACCCTGTGGAGGAGAACACAGCAGGAGGTGTGATTACTGTGAGTGTGTCTGGTTTTAGGTTTTGCATCAATACAACTGTGATAGTGCGTGTGACAAAGAGTGTTAATATGTGCCAGTTATTTTTCTATCTTTATGAAAAAATATAAGCAAGGATTTTGAAATATGCCCAAGACAATTTTACAGAGCACAAAGAGACATCTTCAAATTGTTTGACTCAATTCATGCAGACATTTAGTTTTT